AACAGCTTTTGCTGATACTGAAGTGTTTAAGAATGGAGAACAGTCAAGCTGATTTTATGGTATTTGCAAAAATCTCACTTGTTAACCAGACCCATGCAGATATCAGAGCACAACTTCACTTCTGGAAGCTCGCTTCCTTCTCCATCAAAAAGAGATAGAAACTCAGTTTGGTGTCATTTTTGTTTTTAAAAGCAGCAGTCTTCAGAACTGGGATCTGTTAAAAAAGCTATGCACACAGAGTCATGCCAAGCTCAGTGCAGAAGACTGGGCACACTGGCATCAAGGCATTACTACTCCAGGCTGCTCCCAGCTTTTAAAATTTTTAACACCACCTCAGTGTAAGCTTTCCCTGGGTGACCACCCACCAGATAGGGAAAGCCCTGCTCCTCGCTCTGCTCTGCTGTCCTTGTACCAGCTCCATCACTAAACTGACTCCTCTAGGACCTGATAGCATCTAAGAGAACAACTCTCTTTACAGCTTTAAAAATCCTACTCAGAGCAACTGGCCAGTAAAAATTTATATTGATCTGGAATATCTCTCTGTAAACACTGCCTAGGAAGAATGATCTAACTTTCCGCAGTCTCAACACAAGCCAAGAGGATGTTAAGCTGTGGATACAAGAGTGTTTATAAAATCAGTCTCAAATTCACAGCCTAAACGTGAACAGCTCAGAAGTCACCTATAGTTTAACAAGGAAGTGACACGCTGCGGTATTTCAGGAAATGCCATGAGATTGTATTATACTGTTAAAACGCTCCTCAAAAACTACTGTACCAGGCTCTTGAGACAACAGTCAGTCAGTTAAAAAGAGACCTGACGTTTAGCTGAATCAAAATTCAATAGGCAAGTTCACTTTCAGTATTTCATGCCATCAAAGCACATACCGCTGGGAAGGGCTCTCAGCCTGGGCTGCATTTCCTTCTCCCACTGTGACAAGCACCTAAAAGGCAGTTGTAAAGTTATCTCCAGTACAAACATTCAATTCGAATAGAAACCTGCATACAGACAAAGCCCTTGACTATGACACGATTTTATTTTGCCATTAGCTTCTTCATTACAAACACTTTCACTGGTCTCAGCTCTGGAAATACTCGACTCTCCCCACACCTAGAGACTCCACAAACGGCTGCAGACTCCAGAAGGAGCTGGAGCTGACAGCAGAGGGATCTGCTCCATGCTTGACCACAGCCAAAGCAAGCCACGGCCTGACTTTGAATTGCTTTTCAAACTCAAGCAAACTTTTATTTAAAGATCAGCTATCACAGTAGCAGCTCCACAGTGTATTTCCTAATCTCCCACTACAAGAACCTGCCAGGAATGGGGAAGGAAACAGCAGCTTCCTGGATACAAGACAATCTGTTCAAATATCCTTTAACTATCTGAGCTGGCCTTTACCTCCCTCCATCCACCCGGCACAAACGGATACTTGAAGAAAAGTCCCTGCTGCTCATCTGCCATTTACTGCTTACTCATCTGCCTCTGTACCCAGAGCTATCTAGCACTTGCATCACTCGTTCCAGCCATGCCAAAGCTGTGCAGCTGAACTACCAGCAAATACTGCACAGATTTTCCTCTACTCCTACCAGTCCACTCCTCAGGAAGGAACTTCCCCTAAACCTGGCACTGGCCGGCACAGAAAGCTACCATGCAAAGCCAATCTGCTCAGCCACATTACATGCTTCATCTAAGCTGCACAGAAAATCTTAAAGCCCAACTGCTCCATACTCACCCTACTCCAGCACTGTCCCCAACCTGTAACCCTCTTCACCTGTACTGTTTTTTAAATTATTTTCCCTTTTCAAAATCCTCTGATGCAGTTTCACCCTGTAGTATCTGTTAGGCTCCTGCAACAGTGCTGCATCTTCCGAGATGGAAAAGGGTTGGTGCTACCTCCTCTCCTCCCACAGCACCACTCAAGAGCTCTTTCCAGAAGGCAAGAACAGGGTTTGAAGAGGGAGAGCAGCATCCCAAGGTCACTGTGATATGACTCCCCTCTGTCATCCTCTCACAGGCCAGCAAGATGACCTAATGAGGAAGGCTGACATTACTCTTCCTCCATCCCATCAGAAATTCTCCTTCAGCTGAGAGACGTTGCTGCGAGTCCTCCTAACATTCTGTCTCTTCCAAAAGCGGGGCTCACCTCCCACTTATTCACAGAAAACATCACCCTGGTTTTAGTGTTGTGTACCCGGCTCCCTGCAACCAGAGATCAGAACACGAGGAGCACTGGGGAGGCATTAGCAAGCTTCAATCATCAATCCCCTCCAACCCAAACACACAAGGAAGGAGTGGAATGTAACATTTGTACCCTCTGTGCCAAACACTGCAGTCAGAGGGAGATCTAAATACATCTGTTAGATTCCAGAGATTAAAAAGACTTGCTAGACTTTCCCTCCCCCTTGCAGCACACAAGGCCCAGTAGGGATCAGCACTGGTCACAGAAATTATCTTTCTTCCCTGCAATTGCAGCTTGTAATCAGGTGCCCAGTGTCTCCTAATTAGAGCAGGAATTTTCTTTCCATCTGGGAAAGAATTTAAAAAAAAAAAACCCACATCTCTCTCAATTTATAAGATACAACTAAACATATTATTTTACTTATGTTTCAGTGGTCCTGAGTCTAAGGAGCATCTTAAAGTTTCACAAGGTATTTGGTCTACATAAGCCAGCATCATCTCCTCTCCCTGGCAGACACTAACATAAACAAAAACTCTGAAAACTCAAAGTGAAAGTTAGACTAACCACCTAGTCACTCATCCTATAGACAGACAAGAATGCATAATGGGAAATTGTAAAGATGGGAAGGGTGCCAGAATGCCATGCTCAGAGCCTGAATTGAAAGGCACTCAAAGTTTTGCATTAAATGAAGTGAGGAGACTGAAGAGCTTTCAGATGTCTGGTTTATGTCACACTGCTCCTCCCCACACTTAAGATTTTACAAAAGGATAAGCCAGGACTCCTCAAATATTGATTTTAACATCATACCTACAGGCAAAGAGCAATGGAGCCTGGATAGACAAGTGTCTCAAGGGGCCCTACTCCTAATATTGCGTGTTGTTTTAAAGTTCTTTTACTACTTATACTAAAGGTCATAAAAAAACTTTAAAAAGAACGCACAATATTAGAGGACAGACTCACCCTTATAAGACTGCTCCAACTCTATTAAAAGGTGCAACTGACCTCCCCAGCAAAGTACAAGCTGGGATGTGACACAGTGGGAAAGCCAGCAGTCACGAATCTTTTGCAACCTGAAAAAACAAGGGATGTATTACAAACGTGTTGAAACAGCCCCTGAGCTCCTAAGGGAAGTCAGTGCAAAGCCACCACACAGTATGCTGAAAATGCCTCTTGGGATTTTTTGGAGACATTTTACTGGGAACAAATCTGTTCCAACAAAACATCACTCACGTATAAATGCTTTACACCTTTCAGAGTGGTCACTACTCCCATCCTACAGAAACTAAAGCTACGTGTCCTCAAGTCTCAGTTTAAGCAGTAGCTGCGTATCTCACTGTTGTGCTCATACCGCCACCAGAGCATCCAACTTCCTTGCTGACATTAGAGCCAAGGCAAAAAGCCCACCCTGCCTCTGTTAAAAGTTTACTTTGTGAAGAACAGGAGGTCTCTCTGGATCCTGCTGTCACTCACCCTCAGAGCATCACTGGGAACCCTGCAGAGGGTTACAGCAGCACGGTGCCACGACCCAGGGAAGCCTGCTCCATGTCTCTTCTCATTACATCTTTAAAAAAGTGAGTTATTTTTAAGACAAAGGACAGAGAATAAAGACTGCCCATTTTCTCTTTTAGTCCTGAGAACTTGGAGCTCGTCCCCAGGGGACTTCTGTTATGGTCTCTGTTGACGCAACAGGACAAGCCTTATAAAACCATGTCCCATCTGTTGCAGTAAAACTTACTTTTTTATATAGAGAAACACTATTTTCAGAGTTGTACCTGTGAAGGGAAAGTGATACGGAACTGACCAAATATAGCAAAAATACATGAACCAAAAAAAAAAAAAAAAGCTTTCCACTGCCAAACACTGGGATTTCCCTTTCCAACTCACATCCAAAGAAGTCCATCACTATTATCCAACACCAGTGCTGCTAGCCCAACAGCCAAGTCAGCTTCAAAGAAATAATCTGTGCTAAGGATTGAACACACTGTTTATTAAGCTAGCTAGACAAACAGCAAAATATGCTTGCAGTTTAAGGTAACAGCACACCTGTATTTGGTAATGTGTCCAATTTAAGCATGCCCTTGGAGACAGGAACAGACCAGCTGCTGCTTAAGAGGTAGCAAGGACACTATCTGCTGCAGGAGACAAACAAGCACTGAGCACCCTCGATTCTGGGAGCAGCTTCCATGAACTGTAGCCAAGAAGAAAGGAAATCCAAATCCTGCTTTAGAATGACAGCTCCCCAATGCACAGATGCCTGTCTCAGAAAAGCCCCTTCGGCTGGGAGCGCCCTGATGTGAACCAAACTAATTCTAAACAAAAGATTAAGTGTCAGGGTAAACTCAGTGCCCCTCTGTGCTGCAAAAGTCCCATTTTGGAGTCAGCTGCTACACACCTCCTTCAGCAGGACCCCACACATCCATCCCTGCCAAGTCAAGGTCAAACTCTGCCCAAATCAATGAGCTGGAGAAAAAAAAAAAAAAAAAAAAAAAAAAAAAAAAAAAAAGGGGGGGGGGCAGGCACAATTCTATCTCTAAACTCTCTTTTGTTAGCATGTGCTGCCCACCTCTCCTACCCCACCGAAACTCAGATTCACTAATCCACTTTGGTTAGTGCAAATGCTGGTGTTACACTGAGGTCTGCGCAGATAATGCTCCCTGTGCCCCAAGCAGTAAAGCTGTTGAGCACACAAGGTTGCTAAGCTGTCCCCATGAAAAGCAGGAGAGAAAGTTTTGAGCATCTCCCAAAACTGTTAAAACACTTTCTGAGGTTTGTTCAGCCAAGTTTTACCTTCTCCCTCCCCAAAAGTAACAGCTTTTGCTGCAACCCGGCCTCTCCAGCATTGAAACGGGTGTCAGAGATGCAGAAGACAGAAAACAGCCGGTCCATCTTCGTCGCTGGGTCAAACCGAGTCATTGCGAGGGATAAGCCGGCACCGAGGAGGAAAAACGCAGAGCTGCTGAACGCTCTCAGCGCAAAACCTCCACAGCAAAGGATCTCACAGCAAACACCTTTGGCTTGGGAAGGCAGGAGGACGCCAAAAGCCTCTCCAGCCGCTCTGAAGAAAGGCTGCCTGCACAGAGGAGCTCGGGGGAGGAGGGGAGGAAGAAACTTGAAAGAGAAGGAACTTACTCCGTGATCCTCTTCGCCAGCTCGGTGCAGGCTGCCGTGGAGTTGGCCGAGAAGACCCGGTAGCCACTTCTAGCTGCGTTCATCGCCAAAGAGTCATGCAACCCCCGTGGAGCTCGAAAGTGAGAAAAAACAGATTTATAAGGCAACAACAGCTTCCGTGGCATCCTTTTCCTCCTCTCCGCCACGATCACCGCCCCTTAAGGGGTGGAGAGGAGGAGGAGGAAGGGAACCCTTCCGCTACCTACGGTCTTACTGGTCCACTCCTGTAACAAAGTATAAAAGGGGGTGGGGGTGTGTAGAAAATAGGAAAATATGGCTATTAAAATAAAATGCACCTGCTGGGCAGGGGGGCTGCGTGCTGCTTGCAGAGCAACCTCCAGCCCCCAGGAGCCAGGCCTTGGGTAACCCAAACCCAAACCCGCCTCACGCTCGCCCAGAGGAACCTCATGCACCGGGGGGGGGCGGGGGAAATACCCCCCCCCCAAACGGGAAATAGCAGCTGGGAGAGGGGATCCCTCGGCTGGGGAGCGTGGGGGGATAGGGGGGTTCTCTGTGAGGCAGCAAGGCTAGACGGGGGTCCCTGTGGTGATGGTGGCGGTGCCTACGAAGCCGGGTGGGGGGGAAGCCCTCCCGCTCCCCTCACCCAACCAAGCGAGTTCCGCCACCCGGCTAGAGCGCCGCTTCCCCCGGCGGCCATCTCCGCGCGGAGAGCCCGCCCCCGCTGCCATCTTAGGTGAGGGCACAGCGGCCCTGCTCTCCCCTCACAGGGGCAGAGAGGTATCAGCTACTGCCCGAAGGGCCCCGGTACCTGAGGAGGAAGCGTGAGAATGGCGTAAACTCTCCCTCCTGGGGCGGGACACTCCTCCCGCTTCCCGGGTGCTGCTGACAGCGGAGCCGACTCTCCCTTCCACCCGGCTGTGCCAGGCACGGCCTCAATGCGGCGGCTTCACTGCCCGCGCCTAAGATGGCGGCCGCGCCGGCGGAAGCGCTGCGGTGGCGCTCTAGCCTCGCTCCATGGCGGGCGGGGCGGGAGGCCTCGGGCCCGAACCCGGTGGGGCGGGCGGGAACCACAGCCCTCCCCGCCCCGCCGCCCTCACGCCCGAGGCCTCCCGCCCCGTAGGACTTAAACCAGAGCCCTCCCGGAACCGCACAGTGTTCGGGAGGGGTTCTGCCAGCCGGTCGCTTGGCCCCACAGGTGCTAGGCCACGCTCTGGGCCTGGGGCTCACCTTAGCACCCCAGGGCTGTGACAGCAGTGTGATGGCGGCCCTGAGGAGGTGCTGCTGGAGCTAAACCTGGTCTCTGCACCATTTCTCCAAGGTGCTCTGTGCTACTTGGATGTGAGGACAAAGTCCCTCTCGGGTACAGGCACTAAATGACTTACCTAAGCAGAAAACTTCTGCCCCAACCCATCTGGCAGAGCTCTGTGCTGACCTTTCCAGGCCCAAAGAGCATACTTGATATGTCAGGGAGGGCAAACAGCATTAATTTCATCACTAGGATGGCTGTGCAGTTCACTCTGGAGGGAGAGGTTTTTCCTGACAGTTTTCTAAGCCGCTGCAGAAGGTTGTTATCCCTTCTCCCAGCTGAGAGTGGTGAAGGAGGAGGAAGTCATGGCAGCCTTCGTTAAGGACGTGGAGGACGTACACATCTGTTATTCAGGAGTGACTCTCCCTGCTGCTGGGCTGCTCTGTGCATGTAATCAGGTGTGTGATGGGATCAGGTGTGTGATGGCAGTGGTGCCTCTGGCAACAACTGTCATAAAGCATTTCATGCTTAGCTGGGAACTGCAGCATCGCTATCAGTCCCCTTCCACTGTACACTTCATTAAAAGTTGTCTTTCTCCAGCCTTCATTAAGATTCAGCATCCTCAATGTAAACAAGATAGAAATGCATCAGTGTCACCTCTGCCACTGCTGCGCCTCCTGAACACCAGGATGTAAGTTTTGTCCCCCTTCACCATGCCTGGTGACGTGGATCTGTCCCTGCAGTGTGGTTCCATCCCATCTCCCTCCGTGATGATTCAAGACCACCCCACAGTTATTTACCTGGTGTAAGAGCCAGGACAGTCCCCCTTTCACCTCACCAGCCACCTGGGTTTGCTCCTGCAGCAGGATCAGGCCGCAGGGCTCAGCAGAGATCCCCCATCACAGCCGCAGCCCTGCTGGGACCAGCCATGAGCACAGCAACAGGGGCTTCAGGCTCGTGTCCTGCAGTCAGACGAGGTCAAGATTTACATCCCTGTCCCTGCAGTGCCTGCGCTGGCAGGGCGAGGGGAGCCAAGGCACAGCCCTCACCCCCTGCGCTTGGCACCAGACGCATCTGCCCTAGTTTGCTGCCACCAAAGCTGCATGTGGTCCAAGCTGGGTCGCTGGTGCCTCTCCAGGTCCCCTCTGTCCCCTGCAGGTCCTTCATCCATACCTTGTCCTAGCAGGGGCTATTCCAGCTCCACTCCCATGTCCCCACTTGTTCCCTGAGGTGAGGCGAGAGCTGACAGCATCAGCTGCCTGCATTCATTTCGTGCCTCTGAGGAGAAGCCCAGCCATCAGGCTGGTGGTAACCCTGCAGCTTGGGATAAAACAGGAGCATCCATCTGAGCACCCCCAGCCCCAATCTGCTTCAGCCACGCATGCCACTGCGCGTTTAGCGATGGCGGCTGCTGCCCTGCAAGGCATGTTTGTTTGACAGTGGTCACAGCATCCATGCTACAGCCCTTTACTTGTCACAAGTTGCTGGCTTTGTATTTCAAAAGCAAGAAGCTCAAAAAAAAGTTGGAGGGGCAGACTATTTTTGGGATGTAGGAAGTTGGCTGCTTCCTGAGATCATTTCTGCACCCACCAGAGAAATGGCAGAGCAGGGACACCTTAAGGAACAGGGACAGGCTCCTGTGGGACACCCCAGTGAGGGCAGCAGAGTTACAGGGAGAAACCCGTGAGCAGCACCCAGGCAGGGGGAGTGAGGGAGACCCAGCGCCGAGGGGCCATAGCACAGCACCTCTGCAGGGTGCTCAACCTCCCACCAACTCCTTCCTGGGCCCCTGGGGAAGGGATTTGCTGCTGCCCTCCTCTTTTAAAGCCCTTCCCTCCTGGCTTGCCATGCAATTCAGGTGTGCAACAGAAAGAAGGGCTGTTTAACCCCTTCCTAGTGCTCCTTGCTCGGCAGCCTGGACAACACCAGCCCAGGGCTGATGCTGTGGCCTCTTTGAGTGTGCTCAGCCTCTGCTTTGCCCTCTGAGTCCTCCAGCATCATCCTTCTGTCCTCATTCCTGCTGCCTCGTGGGGTGCTCAGAGCCATTCCAGCCATAGAGGATGGATCCTGCCTGTGTTGTCACCACGTTCTCACCCACTGAAGCTGAGATGCAACAAGTTTGTGCATTCTGCTGCAGGGCAGCCACCGGCATGGCAGACCCCAGGTGGCACCTCTGTGGTCACCTCAGAGGGGCTTGACAACATGTCCTGCCTCAAAACCACCTTGCTCTTGTTTTTTTGGAGATCTCCCTCAGTGCCACCAGCTTCATCCCTCTGGGGAGAGGACCAACAGCCTTGCAGGGACGGCCCTGTGCATCCCTGCGGTGGGCGGAGGAAGCAAGCAGCCGATTCAATGTGAATGATAGAGCAAGCTTCAACTTTATTGAAAGAAATCACACCTTATATAAGCAGTCTACAATACACTACTTGCAACTCTATTGGATACATTAAAGAAACTACATTATAATATCTCAGCCATTGGGTACATCTAAAAAGTCACATTATAATATCCCAGCCCCTTGTGGCATCTCTGGTATGCATAAACATCTGCCTAGCTGTGAACCTGCTTCTCTCCCAGGGCTGCTTCTCTTCACCCCCCAAGGTCGTAGTGCGCCCCAACTTATCTCTGTGTTCTCACAACAATCCTCGCTTGCACAACTGAGCCCTGGGTCTTCATCCTTGTTTACACAACTGTACCCTGGGTTCTTTCCTTTGTTTACCTCAGGTGGCTGGGACCGACTTCTGCAGGGAGCTATGGCCGACCAGCTCCTGCAGGGAGCTATGGCCTTGCTCTCTGCAAGCTGTTCTCCAACACATCCCAACAGGATGGCTGGTGGAGCTGTGGGGTTGGGATCTGCACCCGAGAAGCCTGGGCAGGGCAACGGGCAGAGATCACAGCTCTTATCACTGCAACAACCAACCTTTCTCCTGGGAAAGGGAGTGACTTTGCTCTGCGGGCTGATGGTCACACCTGGTTTTACAGCCAGGCAAAGGAGAAGAAAGAAGCAATTCTGTTGACTTAGGGAGTAATTAATATCGCAGCTTCTGGCATGTACAGAGGCAGCAGTAACCTCCCCCACAGAGCAGTGGAGAGCAAGGCTTTGCAGCCCTTTATTATTTCATTATCAACCGTGCAGGATTAGGAGGGCGGGTCAGGAACAGCACGGGCATTAAGCAGGTTTAGCTCCTTTGAAAAGGCTTATCCTGGCTCAGTCTCACTTGCTCGCTGTCATGCAGTTATTTGCTGAGCAGAGGGGTTTGAGTAATGTTGGGGGGACGGGCAGAGGGTCATGCAGTTTTAATAGCAAAAAATAGTAAAGCCCAGCAGGGAAATCTTGGGAGGTTCCTTTAGCAGGAACTGGCTTTATTTGCTGAATTTCAACAAGGAGGGAGGGCAGTTTCTCAGCTCTGCCAAGATCGACACCTCTCCCCAGAGAAAGCAAGGGCCTTGGTGCTGCTTTGGGGTGGTTTCTTGCACAGGGCTGACATGGCACCGGGTGGAACAACCATTGCAGGCAGCTTCCTGCAGAGCTGGACCAGGTTTTGCCATTTCTCCTTTACCGAGTTTCTCCCTGGAGACCGGGTGGGGTGGCTGCAGCGTGCTGATCCCAGCTCAGTGAGGAAAGATGAGCCGTGGGAACCGCAGCAGTAAATTCCTCTTCTTCTTACCCAGGCCAGAACCGGGGTCTGTGGTGGGATGCTGTGTCCCCCCATAAGTAATTCTGCCCCGGGAATGCTGCCCGCAGGCGCCGAGCATGGCGGCGGGGATCACCCCAGGATCCAGCCTCCTAGCGGGGCCTGGCCAGGTGGTTCTCATTGAAGCCTCTGACTCACCTCCCAAAAATGTCTGCGTGCACATCCCAGCAGGAAACCGCTACTGGGAAGTGGTGAAAACCTTGCAACAGCCTGAAATTTGGCTTTCCCCAGCAAAGGGGGAGATCAAACAGCAGCACTTTGGCCTCAATCCCACTGACGCCAGGGCTAGTCATAGGGGTGACTTTTTGGCTGAGTGAGCGGTGTGTGTGGTTACTCCAGACTCAGCAGCTTCTTGCGGGGTGTTTGGGAGTGTTTCTCCCAAGGAGGCCTGACCTCAGAAATACTTCGGAGTAAATCATCAGCTGGGAGGAATGAGCTCAGCTTGCAGTCATTACTGAGGGCATCCTGGTGAGTCCTGTGGTCCTGGGCTGTACTGGTGGCTGCCGAGAGCTCGGCGGAGGGAGGGTCAGGGCTGGTAGCAGCCCTGAGCAGGTTGCAGAGCCTGGCTGTGATTTAGGAGCTGTCATAACACTCAGCTCTTCGGAGGCTGAGAAACCTCCTGGGTCAAGTCCTGGCCCTCGTGTGAAGCTGGGATTGTGGGTGATACCTGCTGCCTGCCCACAGGTCACGGAGGCAGAGGCCAGGGGTGCAGTCACTTGCCAGAGTTTCACAGCAAGTCAGTGGCAGACCCAAAACCTGCATCCCAGCTCGTGCATCTCAGGAGATACCTCTGTTATTTCTGTCCCCTCCCACTCCATGCTGGTCCTCTGAGTCAGCACCAGCATCTCCCCGGGGGACCCCTGTGGCTAGGGGCTGAGAGGGGCTGAGCTGCAGTCCCCAGGCTGGGTCTGCCCCGAAACATCTCCGACTCTGCACCGGCCGCTGCCGCAGGCGCTGGCTGGGAAGTTCCCACTGCTGCAGTCGGTGCCTGTCCCCCTGCCAAACCCTGCAGCCCTGCCAGCCCCGACGCAGCGCAGAGCTGCGCTATTTCTGGCTCCACCTTGAGAGATGTACCTTCAGCATGGGAACAACGATACAAGAGTCGGATCCGGGATAAGTGCATCCCCCTCCCGTTCCCATTCCCGGAGCAGCTGGACGCGGCAGAGCGAGCAGGGATCTGGAGGAGCTGCCTGCCTCGAAGTGAAACGCTGCAGTTCATCTTGCAGCAGAGCCATGTCCTCTGCACGCCTCCTCCGGGGCTGCCTGCTGTGTAGGCAGCAGGAGCCCGAAATCCGGGCCTGCCCTGGTGCAGAGAGCCTCAAGTCTGCGCTGCAGCCGGGATGCATCAGCCGGAGGGACACAGGGTTATGGCAGGGCTGGGAAGCCCCCACCCTCTCTGCTTTCTTCTCCCAGGACAAGCTCCCTGTGGGGACCAGCTCCTCTAGTACTGGGGGCAGGAGCAGGAAGAGTAGGGGCAGGAGAGAGCTGAGTGGGTCTTAAATTGCCATATATAACCCTTGGCTTCTTACACAACTCAAGGCAAACCTTGTCTGCTGCTTCTGCCTCAGTTTCCCCAAACACATCTTCTCCAGCGAGCCCAGGGCACAGCGCTCCAGCCATACAAGCCTTTTTCCACAAAAATTATGTCAGTGGGGTCTGGGATACCCCACAGGCCCTCCCAGGACAGGATTTTGGGGGGTGTTTGCTCTTGGAGGGAGACTGGTGGCCCCCGTGGTCACAGCTGGACTGGACACCCTGCAGCTTTGCGATGAGAAAGGAGGTGGGGGGGGATTCACCACCAGCACGCCGGGTCCCTGCCATGTCCCTGCACCATGTCCCCGCACTGCCCTCCCACACACACGGCCTCTGCGGCACCACCAGGCAGGAATGGAGCCAACCAGGACAAACCTGACGGGCAGACACCTGCCCACGGCACAAGAGCCCCGGCTGCAGAGCACCCTTTGGGCCGCCAGTCAGGTTAAGGGAGCTCGTTAAGGCTCTCATAATTAAGATAGCGCTGAACGACTGTCTATCAGCACTAAGCGGTGACGGAAGCGATCCCACTTCCGCATTAGACCTCGCGTCTGGAGGCAAACTAGTGGTGGCTGTGCGGGGCTGGGTTGAATCAGCTGGTGGCTGTGGAGAGCAAAGGAACCCACATGGGGCTGGTGGTGGGCACTGGGCTGGCCGTGGCATGAAGCAGGCATCTGCCAAGGGTGGCACAGCATCAGGACAGGCCCACGTGAAGTCCTCATAGACCAGTACTAAGATGGAACAGCTCTGTCCCTTGCTGTCACAGAGGCTGAGACTGTGCCATTCCCCATCTGAGCAAAACCTGCAGCCCCCTCATCTCCGTGCCCTGGGCACACCCCCCACCAGTATCCCTGCGCTAACCCTCACCGTGTCCGAGCATGGTGGCATTGCCGCCTTCAATGGCTCGTGATGAAGCTGCTCTCAGCCCTTTTCCTCAGCCCACAGCATGGCTGTGGCAAGCAGAGCCCAGCTGGGCATCTGACTCCTATTTAAAGCACAGGCAACCAGGGCAAGAGGGATCCCTGTGGCATGGGGCCACCAACGGATGTAGCACGGGAGGACAGAGCCCAGAGCAGCCCCGTCAGCCCAAGGCACCTGCCAGGAGTGGCTTGACAGCTGCTCTCACATCCTCCCACCACATCTCGTGCCTTCCTGAGCGGAAATTGGGAGTGGATTAGTCACCGAGAAGGGTGAGGGGTAGGTCAGGGTGCTGCACTCCTCAGCAGCCAGCTATTTCCTCCAGTGACACCTTGCCGAGGACCACGGGGATGTTTACAAATGCTGGACCCGTGGCAGGGCAGCAGCCGGGGAAGTGCCCGTGCCCAAATCTCACCCAGAAACAGATGTGGGGGCTTCGGTTCCCCAGTCGAAAGCATCAGCCAGCAAATGGGTGGAAGTGGGTTTTAGGTTTTGCCCCCCCCTGCCCAAGCATCAGTTTGAACCCATAGCCCCCAGGGGAGTCTTTTTAGAAAGCGTAATGCTCCAAATCATGGCACCTCGGCTCTTGTTTTAGGTCACTCTGGGAAAGCAAGGCTTAACCACATTATCTGCCCATCCTGTGCCCTCCCTGCAATTTTTGGCCAGTTTCAGTGGATTTAACTGGGGACAGAAGGGCCAAGGGCTCACCACTAATTAAACTGCTGTAAGTGTGAAGAGCGATGCCTCCCCGAGGTGCGAGCTCAAGGTTACGGGGTGTCAGGCTGCTGCCAGCCCAGCAGCACCCAGCGTGCGAAACCTGCATGAACACTGCCACGAAGGGTGGTCTGAGGGATGAGGAAGGGGCGAGGAAGGCCCAGGAGAGCGGAGGGAGGGACTGGGGCATCTCTCCATCTGCCTTACCATTCCCCCAGCTCTTGTCCGAGTGCTTATCACCCGCTTGCCGGCGCAGATCTGCTTTAGATGGGGCCTCAGGAGAGCAAAGGGCCATCTGGAGAGTGTGGAGCAGAGCTACATCCATGGGGCTGGCAAAAAAAAAAATCATTGTTGAGCTGGGCCATCCCCCCTGGAGCCCAGCAGCCCCTCGGGAGGGGGAAGGTCAGTCCCGTCACCATCAGAAGCTGCTGTCAGTGATTTTTGCCAGCCGCCGCAGGCACCGAGCGGCTCCCAGCCGTGCTGGCACCCTCCAGGCAGGTCCCCTGGGCTCTGTCCCCTGCACCCTGTGCCCCGAGGTGGGGTTCAGAGCACAGCCCACCTCCCTCCACAGGGCTCCCTGCCCCTGGCATCCTCCAGCCCTCACCGATACCTGATGGGGCCACCAGTGACGGGCAGGACATCGTCCCCCTCCATCCCCCCTCCCGGAGGTGTCCCTCGCCGGCTGCCCGCTGTCGTCCTCATCCCTCGCCGTACCCCGATTTCTCCAGGCACCCGCCCCACTCCTCTCGCCCTGTCCCGGCCGGAGAGATGCAGAGGTGGCGTTTAACCGCTGCTCAGCCCCGCGTGGGCTGGCGCGGCTGCCCGGTGCTTTGCCGCTGCTCCCCC